GACCCCATGGACGGTAGCCCACTAGGCTCCTCTGTCCATGGGGATTCTCCAGGCAAGAATACTGAAGTGGGTTGCCATGCACTTCTACAGGGGATCTTCCTGACCCAGGAATCGAACCAGGGTCTCCTGCATTGCAGGCAGATTCTTTACCAGCTGAGCTACCAGGAAAGCCCCTATATAAGTGAAAAGACATTGTTTCTAGCTAGGAATATGCTCAACAATTGTGGCAGGGTCTAGTTGTAAAATAAACTAGGTCTTTAATAAATTACTTAGCATCACAATTAAGATTACTGTCCAAATTCTACAGTCATTTTGTCACTGGAATTACTTTGCTTTCAAATAGTTTTGAAAGCAAATAGCTTTGAAAGCAAAGTAGTTATTAATCATCAACCTGAATGATTGATTCTGATATACATGATTCTGATATAATAAACTGAATGTCACATGAAACAGACTGAAATGTCACATGAACTATAAAAATCATAAACATTTAATAATTAAAGCTATTCTTTCTTTCAAAAACCAAAGTTCTATTAGTAATACTCTGAATACTCAATAATTACTAAGTGTTTAATATGAAGCAGACATGGTTCTACAAATGCAGGATTCAACAAAAACAGAAAACTTTGCCCTCATGAAGCTTATATTCTAGTATAGGAAAACAAAGACAAACAAACAAGAGTCAGATCATGATAAGTGTTATGGACAAATTTAAAGGAGGGGAGACATGGAGTAGCAAGGTATATACAGTTAAGGAAGGCCTTGATCAAGTAACAGTTGAGTGAGACTGAAGGGTGCAAGGTGTGAGCTACATATACAGCTGAGAAAAACATTAAAGGCAGAGGGAACACCAAGGCCAAAGGGTCTGCAGCAGGAGTGTACTTAGGTTTTTTGGTCAAAATTCATTTTTATTAATAGAAAATACACTTAATTCCAGTTGTTATACTTAAGTGAAAGTGAAAGTGAAAGGCACTCAGTTGTGGCCAACTCTTTGCAACCCCATGGACTATACAATCCATGGAATTCTCCAGGCCAAAATACTGGAGTGAGCAGCCGTTCCCTTCGCCAAGGGATCTTCTCAACCCAGGGATTGAATCCAGATCTCCTGCATTGCAGGCAGATTCTTTATCAACTGAGCTACCAGGGAAGCCCATTGTTAACAATTAAAGTTGCTAAAAAAAAAAAAAAATCACCACTTAATCCTGTTTTAACTAAGAAAATGAAACTGTGGCTTAAAAAAAAAGTACTCAGCACCATTTACTCATTTAGATTCATTAGCTGCTTATAACTGTACTTGGTGTTTTTGAAGAGGAGTGCTGAAGTCAGAGAGCCTGGAGTTGAATGAGAAGGGGAAAATGGTAGTGGGTGAGATGAGGAGAGGAAGGGAGTGTGGGCCTGCTAATTTTAAGGACTTTGGTGTCTACTCTGAGCGAGATGGGGAGCCACTGGATAGTTCTGAGCAAATGATTATGATTTCATTTCTTTCAAAAAGAATCGCTGTGGGTACTCAACAGAGAATAGACTTGCAGGAGCACAAAGATGTAAAGAGTTTGGGGAAGCGATAATTCAATCTAGGCAAGAGAAGATATGGTCTGGAACAGGATATTAACAGCAAAGGTCAAAAGAGGTTGTCAGCTTTGGATATATTTCAAAGGTGGGGCCTATCATATTTGCTGGTGGATTCGATATGGGAGATAAAAAGAAAGAAGCAAAGATGACTCCATTGTTTTGAATATGAGCAATAGAAACATGGCATTGCCATTTATTGAGGAAGGACAAGCAAGTTTGGGAGAGAAGATTCTAAGAACTCAGCTCTGGGTGTGTTGAGTTTGAGCTTTAATTAGAATTTTATGTAGACATGTTACACCAGCTGTTCTACATACACACACAAGCTCTCTCTCTCTCTCTTTCTCCAAGTCTGGAGTTCAGGGGTGGGTCTAAGCTAGGGGTAAAATTTGGGAGTTGACAGCATGAAACTGGATGAGATCACAGTGAGTTTGGATGCAAAACAGAAGAGGAAAGGTTTAAGGAAACTTCCTCTTAAAACATGGATGTAATTTTGGAAAACTCAGCAGTGGCCACAGGACTGGAAAAGGTCAGTTTTCATTCCAATCCCAAAGAAAGGCAATGCCAAAAAATGTTCAGACTACCGCACAACTGCACTCATCTCACATGCTAGCAAAGTAATGCTCAAAATTCTCCAAGCCAGGCTTCAGTAGTACGGCATGAACCATAAACTTCCAGATGTTCAAGCTGGATTTAGAAAAGGCAGAGAAACCAGAGATCAAATTGCCAACATCCACTGGATCATCAAAAAAAGCAAGAGAGTTCCAGAAAAACATCTATGTCTGATTTATTGACTAGGCCAAAGCCTTTGACTGTGTAGATCACCACAAACTATAGAAAATTCTTCAAGAGATGGGAATACCAGACCACATGACCTGCCTTTTGAGAAATCTGTATGCAGGTCAAGAGCAACAGTGAGAATTGGACATGGAACAACAGACAGGTTCCAAATAGGAAAAGGAGTACCTCAAGGCTGTATATTGTCACCCTGCTTATTTAACTTCTATGCAGAGTACATCATGTGAAACGCCAGGCTGGATGAAGCATAAGCTGGAATCAAGATTGCTGGGAGAAGTATCAATAACCTTAGATATGCAGATGACACCACCCTTATGGCAGAAAGTGAAGAGGAACAAAAGAGCCTCTTGAAAGTGAAAGAGGAGAGTGAAAAAGATGGCTTAACACTCAACATTCAGAAAACTAAGATCATAGCATCTGGTCCCATCAATTCATGGCAAATAGATGGGGAAACAGTGGAAACAGTGGCAGACTTTCTTTTCTTAGGCTTCAAAATCACTGCAGATAGTGACTGCAGCCATGAAATTAAAAGACACTTGCTCCTTGGAAGGAAAGTTATGATTGGCCTAGGCAGCATATTAAAAAGCAGAGACATTACTTTGCCAACAAAGGTCCGTCTAGTCAAAGCTATGGTTTTTCCAATAGTCATGTATGGATGTGAGAGGTGGACTATGAAGAAAGCTGAGCACCAAAGAATTGATGCTTTTGAACTGTGGTGTTGGAGAAGACTCTTGAGAGTCCTTTGGACTGCAAGGAGATCCAACCCAGTCAATCCTAAAGGAAATCAGTCCTGAATGTTCATTGTAAGGACTGATGCTGAAGCTCAAACTCCAATACTTTGGCTACCTGATGCAAAGAACTCACTCATTAGAAAAGACCCTGATACTGGGGAAGATTGAAGGCAGGAGGAGAAAGGGCTGACAAGAAGATGAGATGGTTGGATGGCATCACTGACTCGATGGACGTGAGTCTGAGTAAGTTCCAGAGGTTGGTGTTGGACAGGGAAGCCTGGCATGCTGCAGTCCATGGGGTCACAAAGAGTTGGACACAACTGAGCGACTGAACTCAACTGTAAAGCTAAAGTCAAGCAATTTTAAAGGTATGGATCTAAACAGTACAAAATGTAGAGAACTCCCATACCTTGAAAGCTTACTGCCTTCTGCTCAACTTAGCATTTTAAAGGAAGTTTGAGTTACATGTAAATCTTAGCAACTCTAAAAATCCTAGAAAACCCCCTAGGGGTCACCTTGGGGTTTATTTTAGGGGTCCCCAAAAATAAAGGAATTAATTTTTCCAATGGCATAGCCATTACAGGTTTTACCTTTAATTTGCTTAAAAGCAAATATCCATTCATTCATTCATTTAAGACTACATTAATACATTATAAAAGAAGTAGAAAAAAATGAAACTGAAATGAAAAAACTGAACTTTTGCTCTAATATTCTCCTTCAGTCTCTCCTGGGGAAATGAGGCAGGACTCTCAGGACAAAATTCTTTTTTTTTTTTTTAGGTCAGAATTCTTACCACAAATATTTCAAAAGAAGAAACAGTAAAGCTCTTTTAAATTTCTATTTTGGAATTTTTCTTTTATGACTGTTTCCAACTTTGTATTCTACATACCCAAAGTATGTATGGGTTGCTTCTACATACCCAAAACAACCCAAAGTTAGCTGTTTTTTTTAAATGGAAAAATTGATTTTATTCAATATTTAATATGTCAGATTTATCATACATTGGTTTATGTAAACTTTTTTTGTATGTAGGACTCCACAATGCATCATAGCCCAGGAGTTCAGTCTGGCGGATTTATCTACTTTTGAAGCAAAAGTCTTCTGTAAATGAATACTAGACTTTTTGTAACTCTTCCTGAAGTTAGGAAATGAGTTCCTCCCTCTCTTTTGGCTATAGCTTCAAGCACTGAGCATTTGTTGTATTTCAAAAAAGCCTGTCTCAGCAAAACAAGAAGCTCCCAAGCCAAAATTGCCTGTTGGAGGAACCCCTTACATACCTAGTTATAAGTACAGCTGACCCTTGAACAACATGGGGGTTGGGGTACTGACACTGTACTGACAGTACAGTGAAAAATTTGTGTTTAAAACTCTACAGTTGGACTAACACAACATTGTAAAGCAATTATATTCCAATTAAAAAAAAAAAACTGTATAGTTGGCCCTCTGTTTCTATGGTTCTGTATCCATGAATTCAACCAACCTCCAACTGTGACATAGTAAAGAAAATCTGCATATAAGGGGACCTGCCCACACAGTTCAAACCTATGTTGTTCAAGGGTCCAAGGGTCTATGAATGTGGTATGGTATCAGTCAAGGAAATTTGACTGATATATAAAGGTAGCGTCAAAATAGCATATAAAGGTAGCATATATAAAGGTAGCATCAAAATAGTTACCTTCAAAAGGATTTAATTCTTGAATCACCATTTATATGCCTGCAATGCAGGAGACCTGGGTTCAATCCCTGGGTCAGGAAGATCTCCTGGAGAAGGAAATGGCAACCCACTCCAATACTCTTGCCTGGAAAATCCCATGGACGGAGGAGCCTGGTAGGCTACAGCCCGTGGGGTCGCAGAGTCGGACACGACTAAGCGACTTCTCTCTTTCTCTCAACTTTATTTATATCTTACAAGTTAACTTGAAAAAATTCAAATGGAAATGAGTCACTCAATTGTTCATTCTGCATAGCTCCAATACCTGAATACTGACTATTTTGACCAAAGTTATGACTGTTTGCATTAGTACCGTTTGATGGTCCTGCCTCATTTATCATACTGTTATCTGCACAATTAAAGTCAGATCCCTCAAATGCCTCTGACTGTGCAACAAAAGCAGCAGTACTAGAACTGGTGACTGTTGACATGCTGGAAGAAGACATCTGGTGGAGCTGTCTCAAGTCTCTTGGGTCTAACACTGAATTACAAGAAGGATTTTCAAGATTCATGCTCACGAGTCTCGGATTATCGGTCTCCCTCATGCTGTCATTACTGGGCGTTATCATGTTCACAGGACAGTTAGGCAGCATGCTGGCATCAGAAATACCATATAAGTCAGCTGGTGATACGGATGATGCTTCCATTCTACCTATGTCATTAGTATTGTTATAAATACAAGCACTAGAAGCATTCAGATCACTCATTTCCAGGAATGGTGGGATAACTTGTGAATTAGAGGAAAGTGTCCCTGTTGAAAAACCACTCAGTGAATTCGTATTGACTGAGCGTGAGGTGGGGTGGGCGATTGATGACCAGCCTGAAGAAGACTGAGTACCCATTGGTAGTATGGCTGAAGCAGGATGTGACAATGTACTTGAGATGGATGCAGAGGAAGAATAGTAGGATTCTGCTTGACTTGAAACAGGCCTGGAAGTTTCTGGCAAAACTGCACCATGAGAAAACAAGTTTGGTTCTGTGGGGAAGGAAATGGATTTTTACAAAACTGAAATGAACAAAATTCTAAATTAAAATTATATAAACAACCATAAAAAATTTTTCAAGGAAATAAATGTAACACTTCAAATAAAAATGTTAAATAGGATTATAATTATTAACACAAATCCAAAGCTGAATTCCATAATACTGTTTTACAAATGCCTATAAAATAATTTGGTGAGTTATTTTGGCATAGAAAATTTCATTTCAGTTAAATGTGGAAATCTAGCTTCTGAGGCCTTATAAAAGTACTTTTGAAATGTGAAAGATAAATGTCAGAATTTCACTTAATGGGCCTCTAAATATTCAAAATCATTTCATATTCTCTTCTTTCAGGAGAAAATCGAGGGATGGAGGAAACATTAAGGATGATTGAGAAATCTACATAAATTTCTAAGCCATATTATGATATAACTCACACTAAGGTACTATAAAATTTTCAGAAAAAAATGGATACTATATATACTAGTCTATATTTAATTACATATTATATGACTGCTGTACATATTAAACCAAGAAAAAGCACTGATTTAAGAACATGAAAAGAAAAAAAGACTTCTAAGTAACCCTGGATAATGATCTAAACCAGAAATTGGCAACTTTTTTCCCATAAAAAGCCAGAGAGTAAATATTTAAGGCTTCATGGACTATGCAGCCTCTATTGGAACTTCTTAACTCTGCAGCTATAGTACAAGAGAAGAGCCATAAACAATATGCAATCAAATGAGCTGTGTTCTAGTAAAACTTTATAAGTAAATATAGGCAACTGACATTTCTAAACCATTTCTTTCATGACACACTGTAATTAGTACAATTACCACCATAGGAATGAAATGTAATTTCTCAAACAATAAATCCCAAAACATAATCACAGTTGCCAACAGGACTTTCAGAAGGTGAGATCAATTCATTCAATATTCATAGCATGAAAAAAATATGTAGGAATGGAATAAACCAAAGACGCAGTTTTCATTACTAAGAATGGAATTCCAGTATACTGTGCAAAACACTGGTCTCTCTGATCACAAGGAATACTCTATAGGGCATAAAATACCTTTTTTGATGAATCTTCCTTCTCCAGTTGGTCCTAGGGAGCTAGGTCTAGGTCTTTCAGGAAAATTAACTCCTGTGATAAATTTTTTCCATTATTAAATGTAATTTGAAAAACAACAGTACATCAGTTAAAATTTGAAAAACTGAATAAAGGAAAAAAAAAAACCCAAAACCAAATTTACTTAAATACCAATCAAACCAAAATATTCTTACCACAATCCTGCCACAGTTTCTGGAAAAGCAGAGTTGTTTTTTGTTTCTTTGCTTTATTTCCATATGTGTCTGGTTAGAAAGAAATTGAGAAACTGTGTGAATCATCAATGAGTATGCTTCCTCTCCTTTAACACATATATAGATGTTTTATTCCTACACAGAAAATGCTTTAAATAAATGTACATAGCATGGATTTCTAAGTGTCACAAAGTATGTCCCAAGTCAGTAATAAAATGCATTTTTCTCTTAGTAAAAAATAGTTTATAATATTCATCTTATTTTATTATAACACCTACAGGTTAACCAGTGTCAATTAATGGGTTAAGGGAAGATAAGGACCAAGATGGAGACCATTTTCTGAGTGGCAAGTTTGCCATCTATCAAGAAGGTACAATAAGGACCAAAACAGAATCTCAAATAAAAAGCAAATTCTGATAAACAGTCTAGATAAGTTGAAATTATTCCAGATACCTTTCCTAAGAAAGAGATTCAAAGAGCACAAAGATCAGTCAAAAATCAACAAAAAACTTTAAGGAAAAGAAAATTGTGAATAAATAACATGATTGTGTTCTAATGTATCTTACAAGAAAATGTTCTTGGCAGGACTAAGAAACACATAAAACATTAACACAAAAGGTCATACCCTTTTCATCTGGTAGGTATCTAAAATCCATAGATTCACTAACTTCCTGATCAGAAGGTCGCCGCAACTGCATCTTTACTGTTACCGGTTCCGTTATAGCTTTGCAGTACGGTGGAGTCTTGAAAACAATGGCTACTTGACGGTGTACATCAGCTTGTGAAAAGACACCTTTCGCTTCCCACTCATTCAACACAAACCGAACTTCTATGTCATCTAGTGAATACGAAAACAAATAATTCAAACACAAAGTAAAATGTACCAATCAATTTAAAATATATTCTGAATTCAATGAAACAAACAAAAAAACCAAAGAATACCTTTCTGAACTTTGTCACAGAGTAGAAATATTTCATCTCCTCCTTTGACACTTCCACAGTTCTTGTTTACACGACAAATCCTTAATTCTGCAGTATTAGGAGCACCTAAATACAAAGGATTTTTTTTAATGGGTTGCTGCCTTAGTAATTGAGTTAGACAAGGCTGTGGTCCATGTGATCAGACTGGTTAGTTTTCTGTGATTGTGGTTTTCAGTCTGTCTGCCCTCTGATAGAGAAGGATAAGAGGCTTATGGAAGCTTCCTGACAGAAGAGACTGACTAAGGGAGAAACTCGATGGGCAGGGCCATGCTCAGTAAATCTTCAATCCAATTTTCCTTGATGGGTGGGGCTGTGTTCCCTCCCTGTTTTTCACTTGGGGCCAAACTATGGTGGAGGCAATGAAGATAATGGTGATCTCCTTCAAAAGGTCTGATGAACTCATTGCTACACTCAGTGCCCCCAACCCCACAGCACACCACTGCCAACCCACACCTTCACCAGAGACTTCTGGACACTCAGGGGCAAGTCTGGATCAGTCTCTTGTGGGGTCACTGCTCCTTTCTCCTGGGTCCTGGTGCACATAAGGTTCTGTTTGTGCCCTTCAAGATTCTGTATCCCCAGTCCTGTGTAAGTTCTGGCGGCTCCATGGTGGGATTAATGGCAAGCTCCTCCAAGAGGGTTTATGCCATACCCAGGTCTGCTGCACCCACAGCCTTGTCTAACTCAATAAAACTAGGAGACACACTATGTAGGGCCACCCAAGATGGATGGGTCATGGTGGAGAGTTCTGACAAAACGTGGTCCACTGGAGAAGGGGAATGGCAAACCACCTCAGTATTCTTGCCTCGAGAACCCCATGAACAATATGAAAAGGCAAAAAGATAGGACACTGAAATATGAACTCTCCAGATTGGCAGGTGCCCAATATGCTACTGGAAATCAGTGGAGAAATAACTCCAGAAAGAATGGAGTCACAGCAAAAACAACACCCAGTTGTGGATGTGACTGGTGATGGAAGTAAAGTCGGATACTGTAAAGAGCAATACTGCATAGGAACCTGGAATGTTAGGCCCATGAATCAAGGCAAATTGGAAGTTGTCAAACAGAAGATGGCAAGAGTGAACATCAACATTTTATGAATCAGCAAACTAAAATAGACTAGAATGGGTGAATTTAACTCAGATGACCATTGCATCTACTACTGTGGGCAAGAAGAAATGGAGGAGCCATCACAGTCAACAAGAGAGTCTGAAATGCAGTACTTGGATGCAATCTCAAAATGACAGAATGATCTGTTTGTTTCCAAGGCAATTCATTCAGTATCACAGTAATCCAAGTCTATGCCCCAACAATAATGCTGGAGAAGCTGAAGTTGCATGGTTCTGTGAAGACCTACAAGACCTTCTAGAACTAACACCCAAAAAAGATGTCCTTTTCATTATATGGGACTGAAATGCAAAAGTAGGAAGTCAAGATATACCTGGAATAACAGGCAAATTTGGCCTTGGAGTACAGAATGAAGCAGGGCAAAGGCTAATAGAGTTTTGCCAAGAGAACACACTGGTCATAGCAAACATCCTCTTCCTACAACACAAGAGAAGACTCTACACATGGACATCACCAGATGATCAATACCAAAATCTGATTGATTATACTCTTTGCAGCCAAAGATGGAGAAACTCTATACAGTCAGCAAAAACGAGACCAGGAGCTGACTGTGGCTCAGATCATGAACTCCTTATTGCCAAATTCAAACTTAAAATGAAGAAAGTAGGGAAGACTACTAGACCATTCAGGTATGACCTAAATCAAACTCTTAAAATTATACAGTGGAAGTGAGAAATAGATTCAAAGGATTAGATCTGATAAGAGTGCCTGAAGAACTATGGATGGAGGTTCATGAATTGTATAGGAGGCAGGGATCAAGACCATCCCCAAGAAGAAGAAATGCAAAAAGGCAAAAATGGTTGTCTGAGGAGGCCTTACAAATAGCTGTGAAAAGAAGAGAAGTGAAAGGCAAAGGAGAAAAGGAAAGATATACGCATTTGAATGCAGAGTTCCAAAGAATAGCAAGGAGAGATAAGAAAGCATTCCTCAGTGATCAATGCAAAGAAATAGAGGAAAACAACAGAATGGGAAAGGCTAGAGATCTCTCCAAGAAAATCAGAGATACCAAGGGAACATTTCATGCAAAGAGGGCTCAATAAAGGACAGGAATGGTAGGGACCTAACAGAAGCAGAAGATATAAAGAAGAGGTGGCAAGAATACACAGAAGAACTATGCAAGAAAGATCTTCACGACCCAGATAATCACCATGGTGTGATCACTCACACTCAACTAGAGCCAGACATCCTGGAATGTGAAGTCAAGTGGGCCTTAGGAAGCATCACTACAAACAAAGCTAGTGGAGGTGATGGAATTCCAGTTGAACTATTTCAAATCCTGAAAGATGATGCTGTGAAAGTGCTTCACTCAATATGCCAGCAAATTTGGAAAACTCAGCAGTGGCCACAGGACTGGAAAAGGTCAGTTTTCATTCCAATCCCAAAGAAAGGCAATGCCAAAGAATGCTCAAACTACCGCACAATTGCACTCATCTCACACGCTAGCAAAGTAATGCTCAAAATTACTATGGTTTTTCTAGTAGTCATGTATAGATGTGAGAGTTGGACTATAAAGAAAGCTGAGCGCAGAATTGATGCTTTTGAACTGTGGTGTTGGAGAAGACTCTTGAGAGTCCCTTGGACTGCAAGGAGATCCAACCAGTTCATCCTAAAGGAAATCAGTCCTGAATATTCATTGGAAGTACTGATGTTGAAGCTGAAACTCCTGATGTGAAGAACTGACTCCTTGAAAAAAGACCCTGATACTCAGAAAGATTGAAAGTGGGAGGAAAAGGGGACAACAGAGGATGAGATGTTTAGATGGCATCATTGACTCAATGGACATGAGTTTGAGTAAACTCTGGGAGCTGCTGATGGACAGGGAGGCCTGGCATGCTGCTGTCCATGGGGTCACAAAGAGTCTGACACAACTGAGCGACTGAACTGAACTGAAACTTAGTAATACATTTTATTCCTCTTTGATGGAAAATTTTAGGAAAACAACTTACAGGATAGATAGCAATAAAAACTTTAGTGTATAAACAAATAAAGGACACTCAATACCTTAATCTTCCGTATCTATCCCTTTCCTTTCTTAATGGCATTGCCCTGGTTTATTTAGAGCTTTGTGATTTCAATTCTAGACATTAACACGTCTTTTAATTAAATCTCCCTGCTTGTAAACTGTGATTTTTCCTATCCATCCCATACACTCTCATCAGATTAAACTTTTAAAATCATAACCATAACCCTATGGCAATGCAGTTTTCATCCTTCCTATTATCTGGTCAACATTATTCCAATAATTCCCTGGTATTCAAAGCTCTCCACGATGAGGACAGTCTGATTTACTTTACCTTTATAACTGTACGTTCCACTACCTTTTTGCATGTAGAACTGGTATAGTCATACATCACTGGTGCACACATATGTTAAGAGTATACATACACAGAAATATTTGAGGGCAATTTCATAATCTTTAAAACTATAAATATCCAGATCCTTTAATCTACCATTTGCCAACATTTCTACTTCTACAAATTTATGCTAGGGACATCTGCACAAGATAGGCACCTACAGGATATATTTATTGCAGTACAATTTGTTAAAGGGAAAAGAAAAAAATTGAGAGGGAAACAAACCAAATGCCTTGTAACAGGCTAATGATTTATAAAATTATGATACAGTTATATCATATGCAGCTAATGAATAAGGTACCCGAAAGGGAAAGAGGTTCAAGATATGTTTCTAAGAGGAAAAAAAAAGTTAAAAAAAAAAATCAGTGATGATTTTTCAAAAAGTTGCCAAAAATAAATGGTGTGAATGATGATGATGATGAGATGAAGTATTTGTTGTATATATATTAAGAAGAAACTGATGAAATATCTTTGTAGAATGATATTATAGGAGGTTTACTCTGCTTATTATCTACTTCAGATAGATAACACCTATTCCATACTGTTTGAATTTTACCATAATGAGCATACTCGTTTTTTTAAATTGCCAAACTACTTTAAAAAATTTTTAAAAGCTAACATTGGGACTTCCCTGGTGGTCCAATGGTTAGGAATCTGCCTGCCAATTCAGGGGACATGGGTCCGATCCTAGGCTGGGAAGATTCCACATGATGCAGGGCAACCACGCCTGTGCATCACAACTACTGAGCCCAAGTGCTGCAACTACTGAGCCAGTGCTCCTCAACAAGAGAAGTCACCACATGAGAAGCCTGTGCACCTCAAAGAATTAGCCCCTGCTCCCTCCAACTAGAGAAAAGCCCGTACAGCAACAAAGACCCAGCGTGGCCAAATAAATAATAAAACAAGAAGTCAAGGCTACAAATACAAGAAAAACAAATTACTTACGGTTGTCATAAATTGGGTTGGAGACAACAGGAGGTAGAGCAGTTGCCAAATTACCATGTTCATCAGGGAGGAAAACTTGAAAACATAATCTCACCACGTTGAGGTCACAGTCTTCAATATCAAGCAGCTGTTGTTCAGGGACTGAATAGTACATTTTTTAAAAAATAAGAATATAGAATAGTCACATAGAACTAAAACCCGGTTAAGTCCTCCTCCCTGCCCAATACAGCCAATAACCTTTAGTAGCATCCAAATCTGTACTAACAAAAATACAATGGTACACAATCTCAAGCCAGCCTTTTATGCTTTTCATCATATATTTCACTATCCATAATTCATAAGTAATGACCATGGTCAGGAAGTAACTATCCCAGTCATTTGGTATTTAAAGCAGAACCCCAAAGTTGCATAAATCAAATTTTTACAAAAAATGGTTGTAGGTTTTACACAACAGAGACTAGGCATTCATTCATTAATTTAACAAATATGTATTTAGTTCAGTCATGCATTAAGGGCTCTGCAAATTATCTCCAAAATCTGCATAGGAATTCCTCCATTTTATAGACGAGGAACTAATTTTAAAGAAATGAAATTACATATCTAATGTTTCACAACTAAGTGGCAGAGAAGAATTCAAACTCAGGCCACTGATTCCAGAGCCTATGCTCTTAAAAAAACTGAACCCTATTACAAAATTTTACATATGCGTTGCATAAAAATGACATACACAGGAATATTTACTAAAACTTAGATCAATATTTTAGGGATCAAATACCAAGAGGATACTAAATGAGTTAAGTCAGCTAGTTTCCTTAAGAAATTTTATGTGCAAACTTACCTTTCCTCAAAAAAAAAAAAACACAAAAATTCCATAGCAGGAAAATTTTACAGTTCTGAAAAAAATTTTTTTAAACATGCTTTATGACAAAATATAATGACAGTCTGTTAAACTGCTATTTAAAATAAGTCTAGTTCCAAAGGAAAATATAACTGCCTTTTCAAAGAATACTATAAGGTGTAGCAATCAACGATAACTAACAGCCATGTTTATAAAAAGCATGAAATACATATATTAAATAATATGAAAATTTTATTTTTCAAAAAGCATTGAAACTTGAAATATGAAATCTGAAAACAGTTAAAACCCAAATTCTTTATTCTCAGTTAGCAATAATAAAAATGACAATGTATTTTTGACTGTTTTCATTTAAACTATACTCAGTAGCTATCATGATATTAAAAATTATTCCACTGTCAGCATTCTTAAGCCTACAATTCCAAAGAGGCTACAAAAACATATGTTTACAACTAAAAGGTCAAATATTATGATACAAACACCTGTGCCACAGCAATCTCTGTTGGCACAATTAGGTAGGCAATGAGAGATCCACCTCATCAAAATAATTTTTTTAAACACTATAAATTTACAGTTTAAGATAATGTTTCTCAATTCCTAAGATGAGTAATCAATACACACAAAAATAAATTAGAAAAGTGCTCTGACAAGTTTAAAAACAAACCTATGTGAATGGATAAACTAACTGTGACAGCTATGTAATAAAAAAAGAACTATGAATATATACATAAATATGTATGTATCTCAAAAATGTGACATGAGCAAAAGGAACCAGATACAAAATATATACCACATGCTTTCATTTGTATGAAAATTCTAGAAAAGATTAATTGATGACAAAAGAAAGCAAATAGCTGACTCGAGCCAGAGAGGAGAAAGGGAACTGACTGGGAAGTAGACAAAGAAATTTTGTAGTAATAGTGGAGGTAGTAGAAATATTTCTCATCTTGACTATGGTGGTGTTATATACATCTGGGTGGATCCCACATCATATAAATGAGACCTCAAGAAAACTTTAAAATCTTTTAAAATAGTACATGGAAGAAAAATAAACTGGTTAATAAACCAGGAATGGGAATAAAGATATATTTATTTTAAGTCAGGATCAAAGAAACCCAGAAAGGTAAGTTCAGGATAAGAGGCTTCTTGTTTTCCAGATATCTTGCCAATTTAGAGGTAGCTAAAAGGATGAGAAATTGAGATGAGCTTTCAAAAGACCATAGATGAAAAATAAAGGAGTGCAGGGTCTGCCAAAGATAGAGAATCTGATAAATGCCCAGTGTTTTGCCTGGGGCTCTTGAGAAGCTAAACCCAGAGTAAGAGTGAACTGAATGGAAAGATACCAGACCTCACAGGGATAAAAGCCCAGCTTCAAATAACCTAAATCATTCACTAATTTTAGATGATCTCAGACTTCTAGTGTGACTAGCCACCTACCACAAGAAAGCCTTCTGAAGGGAGATTACATCCTAGACTTCAAAACTCTGTGTATGAGGTGACTGGTGAAAGTGAAAGTTGCTTAGTTGTGTCTGATTTTTTGTGACCCCATGGACTATACAGTCCATGGAATTCTCGAGGCCAGAATACTGTACTCTATTTTAAATAAGCAGGCATAAGAAAAAAGTGAAAGTGAAAGTGTTAGTTGCTCAGTCATGTCTGATTCTTTTTGATCCCGTGGACTGTAGCCCGCCAGGCTCCTCTGTTCGTGGGATTCTCCAAGCAACAATACTGGAGTGGGTAGCCATTCCCTTCTCCAGGGGATCTCCCAAACTCAGGGACTGAACTCGGGTCTCCTGCACTGCAGGTGGATTCTTTACCTCTGAACCACCAGGGAAGTCCTGGCGTAAGAGACAAAGTAATTTTTTTTTAAGAAAAACAACATATAGAAGCAAACCACAAACATTCCAAATAATTAAGTTTTCAAACACATGATTTAAAATAACTATATTTAATATATTTCAGAAGCTAAAGATAATACTGAGAGTTCAGCAGAGTACTTGAAACTATTAGAAAAGGAACCAAGCAAAATTCAATAGAACTGAAAAACACAATAAACTGAAATTTTAAATGTCTTCAAATTATCAACTGTTTTATAGCAAACACTTCATGTCTTATCTTTCTATAGAAACCAAGGACTAAAATCTATCTACCAACATTTTATACTAAGATGTTTATATATATAAATGTATATATATATTTAGAGTTTTACTTTTATACTAAGAATCCTTAAAGTATTGATCTACACTTAAGTCTAAGGCATTTGAAAGCTGATGAATCCAACTTTCCCCAGCTTCATTTATCAGGCATCAATATTTCCTCCCTTTCTCTTGATCTGACATGCTACCACTGTCATTTGCTAAAGTTTCATATTTTCCTAAGTCTGTTTCTGGGCTCTCAGTTTTACTCTACTGGTCATTTAGTCTACTGTTACCACAATACTACTTAATTAGTACTTCTTCAAAATAAACCCCAGTATCTCATAACTATTTCTTCATAATAAGTCCTAATAGCTGATAAGGTCAGTTTCTCATTGCTGTTTCTCTTCTATAAATTATCCTCCTTTTCCTGTTCAGAATCATATTATCATATTTATTGAAAATTTTTGTTGGGAGTTTGGAATTTCACTGAACCTATATATCAATTTGGGAAAAAATACTATCTTACAATATTGATAATAAAGAACATGATATACCTCTCCATCTATCTAGGTGTTCTCATAATGGGCTTCCCTAGTGACTCAGTGGTAACGAAACCACCTGCCAATGCAGAAGATGTGGGCTTGATCCCTGGGTTGGGAAGATCCTTCAGAGAAGGAAATGGCAACCCACTTCAGTATTTTTGCCTGGGAAATCCCATGGACAGAGGAGCCTGGCAGGCTACAGCCCATGGGGTCACAAAAAGAATTGGACATGACTTAGTAGCTAAACAACAAAACAACAATTATCTCATAATAAAACTTTGAAATTTTCTCTAAAGAAATCTTGATCATGATTTCTTAGATCTGTTGCTAGGTATTTTATATTTTCTGAGAATATTTCCTTTAATTATTTGCTTCTGTTCTACGGAAATGCAACTGACTTTTGTATGTTAATTTTACATGCATTCACCCTTTTATTAATAAACATATTACTAATTTCTACATCCTTTTGCATTCTCACTGTAAATAATAGCTTCCAATAACTGGTTTTATTTCCTCAGTTTTGCCTGGATCTCTGTGCACTGGTTACAATCTCCACTACAGTGCTGAATAGAAGCGGCAAGAATACACATCCTTTTCTCATTCCTAGCTTCAGAGTGAATGCTTCCATTTCCTCCACTTAGATAATGTTTACTGTAGGCTTTTTAATACATACATACCATAATACAAAAGGCCTTATTAAAAAATTCTGCAATGTGAAAAATGATAGTTGGAAATCTAACAAAAGTAAGCATGAGACTAACCAAATTCTCTTAAATTTCTCTTAAACTAGTTTAAAATTTCTCTAAAAGAATAAATACAAGGTAACAATTATTCTCCTTAAGCTATCTTTATAAATAAATGTCACTCCTTAGTCTTAGGAGCAGTGCATATGCAGTAAGAATTTTATTTTTATCAAAAAGATATGATCATGATTTCTTCTGAAAGTAGGGATTAAAATTTTTAAATCAATTATAACACCTACTAGCTCTAGAGATGTGACTTTTCTAAAATTCTAATTATTGCTAAATATTACTAAAATTTAAAAAGTGATTAATGGGGCAAAAACATACAGTACACAGATTAACAATTTTAAGAGCTATGTCTCATTTAAGGAAGAAAAACAAAGTTTAGTGATAATTCATTTAATTTCTGTTACTTAAAATGTATAGATATAATACAGTAAAAGCTAACTTTTAAGTGCTTGTGTGCCAACCAAAAGGTAAATGGTCACAGCAATCTACCATTCATTACTTATTCTTTCAACATATTTATTGGGTTTTTATTATGTGCTACACACTAAAACAAATGCCAAATAGAGATATGAAAAGACAGTGCCTGCCCTTAGTGAGATTAGTGTCTGGATGAGAAACAGATATATAAGCTAAAATTATATAATGTAATAACATGAAAAGTGTTATAATGGGAGTATGTTCAAGGCATATGCCTTTATACTGAAGGCATAAAAGAAGTTTCCCAAGTTCCGCACAGGGTAATAAAGAGGGCTTTCTAAAATGATTGCAGTGAAGAAACGATAACAAAGTACACAAAAGTTTTTCCTTCCTTCTTGCTTTTTAAGCTTTACGTTGTGAGGAAAGGCTCTTATTT